TTCAAAATAATTTCGGTTTTATTTAGAAAATTTCACTCAATTAGTAATACTAACCATATCTTCAAAAAAAATTATTCGTAATTTAAGAAATTCAAATTATCGTATCATATAATTTGGTAAAATGCCATCTCGTTGGCACTTTTAATTATAACCCAAACATTTTTCGCAACTTATTTTTTTCGGCTGGTAATTTAAATGAGCAAACTTTAATTGACTACCATCTCGTTTGTACTTTTAAATTTTGACCAAACATTTTTCACAAGATTTTTTCCTCCGGTGATTTTAATTGGCTAGTGTTTTGGTAGCTTTTAGGTGTGATTAAAAACACTTCGAATTAATAAACCCGAGAGCGTCGTTTATTCGTGTTCTAGTTTAGGTGACATGAAATGAATATAGTTTAGTGGATTACTGACCCCATTGCTGCAGTGCACCTATCGTGACCTATTTTCTTCTAGACTACAGAATTTTCTTTTAGCCGATTGTATACAAAATATTATTTAAACTTAATAAAATATGGTAGTTTACAAAATGAACTAATTTAATTTAACGGGCTTTACTTTATTGCTTTTCTAATGACAATGAAAGAAGTTGCCTGCGTTACTATTTTGAATAAATAAAAAAACTAATTTAAATAATGAAATTTTTTTTGATCAAACAAATAAAGTTTAGAAATTTTACTTTAAAGAAATCTAAATAACTTATAATCATCGTTCTGATAACAACTTTCTTATAATCAATAAAATAATATTGCGAGTATTTGAAGAAAATATAATATTTATTACGCAATTACTGTTAGAATTTAATTTTAAAATCAAAAACATACTGTTTTTTCTCAAACTATTATGAATGTCTGTGGTATTTTATATTAGTATGTAATGATTATATTAAAAGTTTTTAAGAAATTTCAGTATTTTCTCTTTTTTTTTTCAATTTTTTCAATATTCAATTCTTCTAAAGTTTTCAAATGATTTCTTTTCAAGACACGATGCCATGCACAACTAGTTTATAAGATATTCTCATCCAGTTTTGTCAGATATGGCAAAACTGAATATTCTAAAAAATCATATGTTAAATTAAAAATTGGGCAGATGCAAGGCTAAAAAAATGACAATAAAATGAATGATTATATATTTAGTTCTAGGCTTTATTTAGAACATGATAGAAGATTCTTCATTTTCCATATTTTCCGTTTATCCGAAATAATCCGTTTTTATTTTTGAATAAAATTTATTATAATACGATACTTATTTCACAATTTTTAGATTATTTATCTGTATTTTTTCTATAGGTTTCCGTTCAGACATCTTTGACAAGGTCAGAACAGATAATGAAATTTATTTTAAGCAAATTATAATTGGACAACTATTATCGGCAAAACTGAACAACTGATTTGTGTGTATATATATATATATATATATATATATATGATTTAGTAGTTAATTTTGATGTTGAAATATATGAGTGAGTTCTTGAGGGCGATACATCAAACAAAGAAAAGCCAAAGATTTATAAAATAATCTTTAATTCCAAACGTTTCGACATTCAATTTAATGTCATCATCAGTGGATATTACGTTGGTTGGTTACATCTAGAGAAGTGTACACAACACTAGAGATTGGCACTAACATTTATACAACTACTTATGTAGATACATGCCTCGGTACTCGCAAAGTACAGAAGTCGTGGCAGAAATTACATAATTCTACTTACATTTTTGTTCAAATAAAACTATCATTTTTCTGCTTACATCATACAACAAATTATAAAAAATGCATAGTGTTGACAAGTTAGTTGTATAAATGTTAGTGCCAATCTCTAGTGTTGTGTACACTTCTCTAGATGTAACCAACCAACGTAATATCCACTGATGATGACATTAAATTGAATGTCGAAACGTTTGGAATTAAAGATTATTTTATAAATCTTTGGCTTTTCTTTGTTTGATGTATCGCCCTCAAGAACTCACTCATATATATATATATATATATATATATATATATATATATACGAGTATATATATATATATATATAAATATTAGGATGGTCCTTAATATAGACATTTTCGAATTTCCTCGCTTTCAAGGGCTCAAATGCTTCCAAATTAAAAAAAATCCTTTATTAGTTTTAGCTCATAATATTGTCTTTTAGATAGTACGCAATTCAAATAAAGTTTTGCATGAAAATAGCATGGAAAAATCTTCAAAAATTTTAAAAATGTTTTTTAGATATAGTTTAGCGAACAAGTGAATGATTTTTATTCAAAATTCGACGCTCTACAAAACAAATGATAAAAAACCTGTTTTGCAGAGCGTGGAATCTTCAATATATTTTTTTGTATTTAAAAATTAATAATTAAATAAAATTAATAACTTTAATAGAAAGAGAAATGAGTAAACTTTGGATAAAAATCCATCTTCCATACCTGCCTCGGGCGGTCTGATATTAAGCAGTAGTGATTTCGGTTTACACTTCAAAATACAGATCTAAATATATTTACTAAATATATTGCTGTAGTCAAAGATTAGCAGTATTAAAGAACTATAAATAATAAAATTATCCTCCTAATTTTTTTTTATTTTTTTATTTTTAACAGCAATCAAACCCTTACGAATAATGAGCTGTTAGGCTAAAACTTCTCCTTACTTCGTATTTTTAGATGGTAACCCAATAATTAACCCATCATATGTAATGATTTTATTATTAGAATTAATCTAGTAAGGATGACTCTCCTAAACAATGGGAAAAATAAATTTATTCCAAGTTTAAATGCCATTGACAAATATGTTTTGTCTTTTTGTCCGGTATCAAAATAATGTTAATAAACTTGTTATCGCCAACAATGTATCAGTATCGAATTATTTATCGTGATTCTATATTGGCATATCAAATTGCTCGTCTTACTTATCATATCAAAAGAGCCTTATCATTGGAAATTTATTGTAACCGATGCCAAAACCAAATGCCGGTGGTAAAAAAAAATCGTTCAGTTCATTTTCTTGTAGTGATCGTTTTGCAAATGATAAGTAATTTGGAAAAATAAGTGTGGATTTATTTATCAAATAATAAAGGTACGTTATAAACAGTTAACAAAACCTAAAATATTGATTTGTGCATATTTTGTTAGGTAAAGTTGATATCCTTATCGCAAGCAATTGTATCATAAATTGTCAATAATAAAATTTGCAATGATTTAATAGAAATATTCCCAAAAATAAAAAACGATAAATTAATTCATCCAGCACATTAGGGTAGAATTTGAGTTCTTCCGTTCTTCATAAAATTTTTAACAATGTCCAGTATTAAATTTTGGTAAATTTTGCAAGTATGGTTTGTAATAAATCAAACTTTTAAACAAATGCTTGTAATAAATGACGAAGTCTTCTCTATTACATTTATCTTCTCTATTACAAATGTTTATAATAAATGATAAAGTCTTCTCTGTTACACTTGTTCAAGTTTCAAATTTATTAAGTAATTCATAGAATATGTTTCTAGTTGTTTTTTAGATGTCAATATCAGTTTCGTTACATATAATATGTGATATTAAATCAGCTGACTTAATCTCGGATTATTGACTTATCATTTCAAGTACATTACCATTGTACATAAGTTGTTAAATTTTTTAAACTTGATAATAAATTTATATAACAGCATCAAGAATTACTTTAGATTTTTTGGCTTGCGAAACTCAACATATTATTATGATAAGAAATGTGATATGAGTTTTGTGTCAGTCAAAATATAAATATTTCATTTCTCAATGATACGCAAAAAGTTTTCAAGGAAAGAAATGTTTTAGGTATATTTTTTATGTACAAGAAGAAATGTTTGCTCGGCAATGATTGATTTTGTATGAATCAAAAAATAAAGAAAAAAGATTCTGATCAAAACTTCCAAAATACGTACAAATTATGTAAATAATATTTCGAGACAATTAATTACTATATATTTATAACCTCATGTTTTTATTAATAGTCATTATTAATAAGAAAAATATTAATTTGAGTATGTAATTCGTCACAAATTTGATTTAAAAAACGTTATTATTGCTTGTAAAATATTTTAAGACTTCCAAACTTGAAAAACCAATAGTGAAATCAAACAATTTACTTATAATTAGCACGATGATTGCCATGTCAGTCATATATGTCTGTCGATAAGAAGTTTTACTTGATCCTTGTCAGATATATATGTCTGATATACACATTTGGTAGAGGTGTCAGTTATAGACATAAAAATAGTTTTTTCCAGGAATTTTTGCAAAATAAAAAATTTTCCTTGATAAATTTTTAACTAAATTATCTAAAATAGTGTTAAAAGTAAAATCATGAAACGTACAACGTTTGATAAAAAATGTTAATTGCTACTAAATGAATTTTGTTTAATAATAAAAACTTGAATTTCCACAATAACCACGGTCTGATAACAAAATTTTTATAATTAGATAAATCAAAATAATATAAATAAATATAAAAAATCAATCAAATATTGCAAATATTTAAAATATTTAACTACGAGTAAATTAAAAAAAATATATATTTATTGGGCATTAAATTTACTGATTTTGAATTTAATTTTGAATGCTAAAAGATACTGTTTTTCCTCAAATTATTATATATACCTGTAGTAATGTTTATGTCAAATTTGTCAAATATTTGGAAAGCAAAGATAAGCATAGCAAAGTACTTCTGTTTATCATGAGTTTTTTTATAATCATAATAATAATGTTAAAATTAATAATTAAAAGCCACATTAGCTGCTGCAATACTAAGTATATATATGAAAAGTTGGGTCAAAAATAAAATGAAAATGGAAATGATTTTTACAAACCTTTAATGAATAAACTGACTACTGCTCATGAACTACAATGACTGTCCGATCGCCAATTAAAATTTGCACTGTTTTTTTTTTATTTTACCGATCTCATAGTTTGAAAAATTTTGAAAAAGAAAGATATGTCTATCTTACATATTTTATAGATGTTATGTATTTTTTTTCAGGAAGAAAATGGAGTTATCGCTGCATGAACGCGATAGGGTCGGGGTGCAAGATTCTGTTCTTTTAGAAGACTACACAAATGAATCTGTTTTTGTCGATAATCTTAAGAAGAGATTTGGAGAAGACCTCATATATGTAAGTTTACATTTTCATTTATTTCTACAATAAAAACATAGACGCAGATCCAAATAATTATAACAAATTTGAATAACCTGTAGTCAACAATAAATAAAATCAGTAAACAGAAAAAAATTGATAATCGATAAGTAGTATTTTTTAGAATCTCGACTTCCACAAATTCTATTTCAATATTGTTAGGATATTAGACAAATCAATGTATAAGAAATTTTAGTTTAGATATAAAATCCAAACTTAAATTAACTTAAAAAAATAAACAGATATTTCATAAAGATTTTAATAAAAAGTACAAATTTTATTTGCTTTGCTAATAAAATATTTCATCCAGCAATTTGCCTTAAGGCATTATACCATGCACCACTAATTTTGAGTAACTGTTCTTTAAATCTATGAAATTTAGTAGTCAGCAATATCGTTTCATAAATAGAGAAATATTTCAAAAATTTAAGCATATTTAATTATATTAGAATTTAATTTCGGTTACGTTATGCCATGCTAATTATTTTCATTGATTTTAATATAGGTAATATTTAATTCAAAATAAATATTTATCATTTGATTTGATGTTATCTTTACCCAGATTCATATTTGTTTTGGGTCAGGGCGATTATATGCATGGAGTAGCTAATTGGATTAGTAAGCGGATAGTAATTGTAGATAGATCAATTGCATAATATGCATTCCATTAATTTAACTTAATAATACGAATGAACACAAATTAATAGCAAATTATATGAATATAAATTATTTAATATAAGTTGCATTCATAAAAAAGTAAAATCAACAAATTAGTTGAGAAATATCTTAATTATTTGTTTCTGTAATTCAGAAAATTTAATTCTATCAGCTCAATATAAGTTTAAATTTTTTATTGAAATTGCAATTGTAAGAAAACATGATCATGTTTATCAAAATCAGACAAATGCATCCATATACATAATTTAAGAAATAAGTACCATGAAAAAATAAATCAGCAAATAAATTGAGAAAAAGCTTAATTTTTTTGTTTCCGTAATTCAGAAGCTTTAATTCTATCATCTCAATATCAAGCAGTAATATTATCAGTTTTTACATGAATATATATATCTAAAATATGATTTCACGTGAAAATAGCCTTCCGACGCAATGTTATATAAATAACAAATTTTAGAAAAAAAATCATAATATCATCAGAAGTCAACCACCGCGTTGCCTTCTATTAACACTAAAATAATATAATATAGTTTTAATACTAAAAAAAAAATATGTAAAATAATTATTTCCAGACATACATCGGCCAAGTATTGGTATCCATCAACCCTTACAAAGAACTAAATATATACAGGGAAAAGGATGTTTTTGAATATACAAAGAAAGCGTTTTTCCAAGCCTCACCTCACGTGTAAGTACAACAAGTTTATAAAAAAATATTAAAATTACTATTACATAGAAATGACAAAAAAAAAATTGACAAGAATTTTGTCTGAAATGTTTTGTAAAACTAGTATTTTAATTCGTATTTCGCATTTAATTCTAAATAAATTAATTTTATTTTTTGCAGATTTGCAGTTGCAGATAACGCATATAGATCACTGACTGAAGAACATCGTGGACAGTGTATTTTGATATCTGGTAAATATTTAAAAAATATAATAACAGCTATGATATGCCATGTAAAATATGTTTTAAAACTTGAGAAAAAAAACTTCATTGTTTTTGTTTAATATTTGTTCCAAAAATCTTGCGAGTATATTGACTATCATAAGCAAGGTCTCAAATTAGATATTGATTGTCATTAACTTTATTGTGATTTACTACTACTAGATGTGATAAAGATATGCAAAATAATTATAAAATCTCTTAATTTATTTTGTACATTTTGCTTCATCATTAGTAATAAGAAATTGGGAAGATCATTGAGAAATTATCAAGGAGTCTTGAGTTACCCTAATTTGATGTTTTTTTTCCAAGGTGAAAGTGGTTCTGGTAAAACAGAAGCGTCCAAAAAGGTTCTGCAATTTGTGGCAGCAGTAGCAGGCCATCAAAGTGGTGTCGAAGGTGTTAAAGATAAACTTTTACAAAGTAATCCAGTTTTAGAAGCATTTGGTAACGCCAAAACAAACCGAAATGACAACAGTAGCCGATTTGGAAAATACATGGATGTTCAATTCAACCATGCAGGAGATCCCGAAGGTAAAATTTAATTTAATACAGTTTTTGCCATCAACCAATAATAATTTTTAATTGTTTGATATTATTGAGAATAAATTTTTGTCTGTAAGCTTTCAATCCGGATTATGGATTTTCAACACAATGTGGTATGTTGGATAAAAATCACACCACTTCATTAGATAACCTGATGTCTGTTTGGTTTATTATACAATGTTTAACAAATTTTTATTTCCAAAGGTGGTAATATTTTGAATTATCTTCTGGAAAAATCTCGAGTGGTGCATCAAAGCAATGGTGAAAGAAACTTTCATATATTTTACCAACTTTTACGAGGAGGAGAACCTGAATTACTACAGCAGCTTCATTTGAAGAACAATTTGGATAATTATTATTATATCACAGACGGTGTAAGTATCATTTATAAAAACAATTGGAAAGTAAATATTTTCGATATAGGGAAGTACGGACAAAATGCATAGACCTTATACTACATGGACTGCTAGTCGAGCGCAAAATAAGTGTTAAAAGATAGAAGAGGAGGGTGACGTCACTTAGTAAACGAGCGTTGCCGACAATCGTGAAACACTCCGGAATCATTAAACGTCATATGCATTGATCTTATAATATATAAAACGATTTTAACACGTGGATTCGACTTTATGTACATTTGTTTCACAGGGGCAATATTATTAATATCAAAATTCCTACAAAATTATCAGTTCACACAAATGCCATTATATAAAACTCTATGACAAAATGACATGGTGTTTTGTTTTAAATGATATTATAATCAGTCTTAATTGTTATTACTCATTTTTGGTTCATTGACAACCAGTAACATAATCTTGTAATTAAGTATGAACAATAGTAACATGTTTATTAAGAATAAATGCAACTAATTACAAGAACGTCGATATAGTACAGACAAAATGTCGTCTTATTAGGTAAGAACATACTGAGATGCAAAAAAACAGTTTACAAATAAATCATTTCGTCATCTTTAGGATATCAGCACATGTTTCATGAGCCCAAAGGAAACAATTCATATATCATAACCAACTTTCGCAGGATTCAAAATTGGAAAAGAGGGCTTCGCAACAAATGCTTGTTTTTTACTTTTTTAGAAGTATTTAGAGTAAAAGTTAAAAGCCTACCACCTTTGACAGCTTTCAAATTTCTTTTTTCTTAGTCCCGAATAACTAACTGGTAGAGCTTGCAAAATAGCACTATGGCATTTTGTTCATTGTATAAGCAGGTTATTTTGTCCGAAATTGAACAAAAATGAATAACTAATCAAAATTCTATCAAATACCTGATGATTGTAATTAAATTAATTGAAATCACTAGCACTGGCCTAAGGTCATTGGTTTTAATAGAAATAACTACAAATGGCAATAAAAATGTCCCTAAAATGCATGTGAAGACCATCCTTACAATAAACTTTTGAAGGCACGATTCACGTTTAAACTGATTACTGCAACAAGACTGTGACAATGACAAGCAACATCTGACAGGATTGTGAGTATAGTCTAGTCATTATAGTAAGTTCACCTTGGAATTTGAGATACCCAGCTGTAAGTCTGTAAATACTTGTATATTGGCACCCTAAAAGTTATCTCAAAACTGTATATGGTATGGTGTCAATATCATATGTAGGTTTTGAGACAACTTTAGGGTGTCAATGTACAAGTATTTACAGACTTACAGCTGGGTATCTCAAATTCCGAGATTCTTACCTGATTTAAGCTTAAATGACTAGACTATTAGAGCTTTAGTTATGTTATACAGTCGCCGAAATGTTACTGAAACTAGCTAAGTTTTAAACTAGGCCAATGTGTCATTTTGTCCCTATATACCAAATTGTCCGTACATCCTCTGCATGTAGCTTTGGAAATAATTTACTAAAATATTACTATTTTTTTAGAACAAGGGTTGTGATCAACGAATCAATGACGCTGCTCAATTTAAGGCTGTACGAGCAGCCATGTCAGTCATCGAAATTTCTGAAGAAGAACAAATACAAATCCTTCGTGTCGTCGCAGCAGTTTTGCATTTAGGCAACGTTGGATTTACTGAAAGCGAAGGAAAAGCAGAAATCTTGAAACCTGAAGCTGTGCAATACGCCAGCGAGGTAAGCTATATTTAATACCAAAAAATCCATTATCCAAATAATGATTTTTAATATTTTTTCTAGTTATTGGGATGTTCATGTGAGGCTTTATCCAAAGCACTTACACACCGAACTATCGAACCAGGCCGAGGTCTGGCTAAGGTCAGTTCTCCTTTATCACGAGAAATGGCAATTCATGCGAGAGATGCTTTAGCAAAGGCTGTTTATGATAGGATGTTCACTTGGCTTGTGTCCAGGCTGAACGCTTCTTTGCAACCGGTCAAAACCAGGAGCTATTCGGTTATGGGAATATTGGACATTTACGGATTTGAGATATTCCAGAAAAATAGGTAAAGAGAATAGTAATTAATTGTTTTAATTTATTAACATACATAAGATGGGGTTGCTTGAGTCGTACCCCCTAAGAAAATAATGATATCTTAAAAGAAAATCTTTGTCTATTGAATTTGTGGTTAGACACGATGAGTAACAATTACTGCTTTTTTATTAAAGTAAATATTTTTACGTTCAAAAATGTCCTTTCACGATTTATGAAGCCTAGTCACTTTAGTCGCACCACCTATAATCTTAGTCGTACCTACTCACAAAATTGCATAATTAATTGTAAAATAATTATCTCAAAAGGTAACGAATGCACATATGGAGTCTTTTAGTGCTAAGAATTGAGCTTTAGCTATTAGTGAATATACAACCATTATTGACTACGCCCACTTAGCTCATTTTTTTTAATTTGAGCTAATATTTTGGAAAATTGGATGTATCAATTTTTTCTTTGTATTTAGCTAAAACTTTCATAAAACGCCCTTTAAAAAACGGTACGAGTAAGAAACTTTGGGGGCGTCCATTAATCACGTGATCGATCTTTTAAGGATTTTTGGACCCCCCCTCACCCTTGGTGATAAGTGGCGATATTTAAAATTATACCCCTCTAAAAATGTTTGGATTTAAAAAAAAATTAGTTAAAAAATAAATACGAGATATATTACTACATACCACCCTCCCGCACGTGATATTTCGTATTTTTTGTCCCCCTTCCCCTAAAAATCTCACGTGATTAATGGACGCCACAGGTACGACTTAAGCACTATGTTCTTCGAAGTTTAAAATTAAAACTGATGACACAACAAACAAACTCTACCATTCAAATATGCCTAAACGATTGTAAAATACATAAATATTATTAAGGAAAAAAATGACAGGATCACATTCTTGCAATAAGAAAAAAATATTAACAAAAACTTTACAAAAAGCTTTTTTTCTAATTATTCAAGTTTTCTAGTACAGCCTCAATTTGTTCAACTAAATAGTTCTATATAGTTTCTAATTTTTGGTTTTAGTTTATAATTTAACTGTGCCAGATGATAATATTTATAATCATATATCGAACAAATCATAACCGAAGAACGACTTAGGCAACTTTACCCTAGTCATACAAATCATCAATTATATTTTTGTAATAACCAATTGATCATCAGTAATATAACATACTGAGAATTTTCCTTACCTAACTATTGTTACTGTATTTACAATTTGTTAATATGTCATTCGATATTTATTTTAGTTTTGAACAATTCTGTATAAACTTTTGCAATGAAAAACTTCAACAACTCTTCATCGAGCTGACTTTGAAATCAGAACAAGACGAATATTTGCGAGAAGGCATCGAATGGGAATCCGTTGACTATTTCAATAATAAGGTCATCTGTGATTTGATTGAAGAAAAACATAGAGGTATACAAATTATTATATTATTGTTATTACTGCAACTTGCTAATATCTTATGATATTCTTCTAGGCATAATATCATACTTGGATGAAGAGTGCTTGAGACCCGGAGAGACCAATGACATGAGTTTCTTGGACAAAATGAATATAAATTTGATGTCTCATGATCACTATATAAGCCACGTCAAAGCAGACACGAAGACTCAAAAAACTATGAGCCGAGATGTAAGAACAATAAAAATATATGTAGTTTTTTTTCATTAAGATGATTAAACATCCTATCCCTCCATAGGAATTCCGTCTGATTCACTACGCCGGAGATGTTACCTACAGTGTAAATGGATTTTTGGAAAAGAATAGCGATTTGCTATTCCGTGATTTAAGAGAAGTGATGAGTTCTGCCTCTAATACGATAGCAAGTGCTTGTTTTCCTGCTGCAGAACTGCAGAGCAAACGTAGACCAGAAACAGCAGCAACGCAATTCAGGCAATCTTTACATAACCTGATGAATATACTGATGACCAAAGAACCATCTTATATAAGATGTATTAAGCCGAATGAACTTAAACAATCAGGTTCGAAAAATAATTGCAACTGAAAGAATCATCACAAACGTACATTTTTTTTTGCATACTTTTATTGTCAATCAAAATTAAATACATTTTTTAAGACAATGTGATGTTGGTTTTAATGCATATAAGAGATTATCTCCTATGAGATATCTCTCTTTTATATTTTTAACAAACGTACATGGTACATACATTCCACTACTTATTTATCCTTTTCTAGGATTCTTCGATGTAAGCTTGGTAACACATCAGGTGAAATATTTGGGCCTAATGGAGAATCTTCGAGTACGTCGTGCTGGTTTTGCCTACAGAAGAACTTATGAGAGCTTCCTGCATCGCTACAAGTGTCTAAGTAAAAACACTTGGCCTAATTACAATGGAACAGCCAAAGATGGTGTTGAAGTTTTAGTCAAAGATCTTGGTTATAACGAAGAAGACTACAGATTGGGACGGTATGATAAATATTTTACACCCATAAACTGGTAGATCAATTCTATTACCATTTATCCTTGTTTCAGAACAAAATTGTTCATCCGTTCACCAAAAACACTGTTTACCACAGAAGACGCTTTCCAGGCTAAAAAGCATTACATTGTTTCCATAATCCAAAGTCGATGGAAAGGTCTGCTTCAACGTAGAAAATACAATAAACAACGTGCTGCTGCAATTTTGATGCAACAGTGGATTCGAAGATTTTTGGCACAGAGAAATGCACTAAAACGCAAGGAAGCTGTGACTGTAATAAGAAGGTAATAAAACTAGTTGGTATGGTTTTTTGCCTTGAGGCAAGTTTCATGAACTTCTCGATATGTGTAAACAATTGATTTAATCAATGAAAAATAAATTAATTTATTAGTGATTAAAAGTATTCCGAGTGGATTTATCGCACATATTTGAAAACGAACGAACACGTTAACGAAGTATTTTCTAAAATTAAAGTAAATTTTCACAAATCAATGATTTTTATAATTGATCTGGTTTCTATAGGAACTTAATGGTTTAGTATGTTTATTGAGACCAAGTACTCTATCGTTATACCAAGTAAATCGTCTAATTTTAATTTTAACAAACGTCAAAAACTACTCATTTTCTCAAACTTTGATGAATTTTTAAAATTAAACTACTTGTCGTAAGGCCGTAATATTTCAGTAAGTTCTATAAGACCATGATATATATCGCCAAAAAGTTCTTAATTTTTTTCAATAGTTAATTACAAGAAAACGGCTCGGTAGATTTTCACCTAAAACTAATCAGTATCATTCTCAATTAATATCATTCGAACAGTTTTTGATTTTTTAAAATCGATTCGGTAGTATGAGCTTAAATGTGGACGAAAAGTTTAACACTTTTTTCCAAATTACAAAGAAACGGCTCGGCAAATCGTTTCACAAAACTGACAAACTATAGTCCTCATTGAGATACATATAATGGTTTGTAAATTTCTGAAATCGGTTCAGGCGTTTTTGAGCAAACGTCGATGAAATATCTAATTTTGACAAATACCAAAAAACGATACTAATTTTTGCAAACTTTGACGAATTTATAAAGCTAAACGAGTTATCGTAGGGCCGTAATATTTTAGTACGATCTAGAAGACTATAGTACTTACCGTCAAAAAATAATAATGAAAATCGACAAAAAACGCTTTTTAACGCTTTATTACAAGAAAACGGACCGGCCAATCTCTACCAAAAACTAATCAGCACGACTCCCAACCAATATCTTTCGAACAGTTTTTAAATTTTCAAAATCGATTCAGAATTGCGGGCTGAAACGTGGACGAAAATTTTTTCACTTTTTTGGTATTTATAAAGGAATGTCTCGGCCGATCGTCGCACAAACAATAGTCCTCATCGAGATACATCGAATGGCTTTAAAATTTTTGAAATCGGTGCAGCCGTTTTTGAGAAAACGTCGATTTACGGAAAAAATCTGTTCACACACACACATACTTTTTCCAAATTTCGTCTCATTCGATTCAGAATGGCTTGAAACGTCGAGAAAACATAAAATTAGCGAATCGGATTTTTTGTGTAAATAATATACTTAGTGGTTTTGGTATATTTTATTGGCATTATTCTTTTTGCAGATTTATTGAAGGTTTCATAACCAGACACGGACCTCCCACAGAATTGAACAAAGCTTTTATAATATTTTCCAAAGCTCAATGGTTACTCAGATTATCAAAATCTCTTCCTCAACGTGTAAGGGATACATATTGGCCACCATGTCCAAACAATTGCAAAGAGGTACAAATATAAAAAAATATTTTTGTAACAAAATTTAGTATATCATCATCATTTATTTTTAATTTTGTAGGCATCAGCTTTGCTATACAGATTACACAGAGGTCAAAGAGCTAGAATTTACCGCATGAATTTATCTAAAGAGAAAAAAAGACAAATCGAATTGAAAATTATGGCAGAAGATGTATTCAAAAATAAAAAAGCAAGTTATGCATCTAGTTTTGGCCCTTGGTTCGTTGAAGATCGATTGAACCCAGAACAGAAAAAATTAATTGCACACTCTATAGACAATGGTGAAAGGCTAGTGGTAAGTAGTAAATATTTACTAAACTGGATTCCCGATATAAATATTACTATTTTATTTTAGTATACGACAGAAGTAACAAAATACGATCGTCATGGATATAAACCTAGGAATAGGTGGCTTTTGGTAAGCGATAAATCTTTATACCTTGTCGAGGTTGCTTCTAATGGCAAAGGTATAAAAATGAAGCACAAACTTCAACTAGATAAAGTTTCTTTTGTAATAACAGCAAATAATGATAATTTGCTGATGGTACGAATACCTGCTGATTTTAAAAAAGATAAGGTGAGTATGATATATAACTAGTTGGAAGTGGCAGTTTGCCTTAAGGTTAGTTGCATGAACTTCCCGAGATATGTAATTGACTTGAGATTGACTTTATCAAACGAAATTAAGATTTAGATATTTAAATAAAATTTTGAACTGAAATTTTGAAATTAAAGTTTTCGCTTTTAATTAAATCTAAACATTGCGATTTCCAATAGAATTTTCTCAAACACATTTAAGAAAATGTCTGTAATTATATTGCACAGACACGTGCTTTTATGTCCTATAAATGTAGCTTATTAATTTAAATTTAATGAATTAATAATGTGTGACTCATTACATCACAAAAGCGATTACTTTTGGCACAAATTTTGACTAAAATATTTATTCAAACTTTGATGAATTTAAAATTAAACTTCTTTCCGTAGGATCATAAGATTTTAGTATGTTATTAAGGATCATGATATCTATCAATATAAAAAGTTCTATCAAAGAAATTTTTTTCAACAGTTAATTACCAAGAAACGGCTCGATAGATTTTTACCTAGAACTAATCAGTATCAATCCCAAGCAATATCTTTTGAAAAGTTTTTGATTTTTTGAAATCGATTCAGAATTGTGAGCTAAAAACGTGGACGAAAAATTTTACAATTATATGCAAATTACAAAGAAACGGCTCGGCCGATCGACGCGCAGAATCTGAAAAACGATAATCCTCAACAAGATACATCGAATGGCTTTTGAATTTTTAAAATCGGTTCAGACGTTTTAGAGCAAACGTCGGTGAAAGGTCTAATTTTGGTAAACGCTAAAAAGCGATACAAATTTTTGCAAACTTTGACGAATTTTTAAAATTAAACTACTTGTCGTAGCGCCGTAATATTTTAGTATGATCCTCTAGAAGACCATGGTATATATCTCCAAAAAAAATCATGAAAATCGACGAAAAAAAATTTTCAACGGTTAATTACAAGAAATTGTGCCAGCGAATCTTTACCAAAAACTAATCAGGTCGATTCCCAACCAATATCTTAAGAACGGTTTTTGAATTTTTAAAATAGATTGAGAACTGCAGGATAAAACTTGGACGAAAATTATTTCACTTTTCTGCTATTTATAAAGAAACGGCTTGGCCGATTGTCGCACAAAACTGACAAACAATAATCCTCATCGAGAAACATCGAATGGTTTTTAAATTTTTGAAATCGACTTAGCCGTTCGCACACGCACACACACACATACTATTTCCAAATTTGGTCTCATTCGATTCAGAATGGCTTGAAACGTCGAGAAAACATAAAATTAGCAAATAAGATTTTTTGGCGAAAAAGTAAACTTCTTCGAAAAAAAAATCACAACTTTGAAAATATAAATAATATCTCATTTTCCATTGTATATACATTTTAGGGAGATTTGATTTTGGAAGTACCCCATTTGATCGAATGTCTGGTGTGGATATTGGACTTAGATAAAACAAAAAGCTTTAGTATTCTTCAAATACTTGACAGAAATCCGTATGTATTTTTTTAATACTTTGTACAAATGCAATTATGAATGATATTAACTTGTAACTATATTATTCACAGAATCAATCACAACTTATCAAATGGAAAAACAGGTGTCATAGAAGTACAGACGGGAAATGAGCCAGGAATTAAAAAAGCGAAAAGTGGACATTTGGTCGTTGTAAGTAAAAAAGTAATACATTTATACCCGCACTTATAATAATTAAATTAAATTATAATAATGACTAATTTTTTATTTAGGTTGCTGCAAAATAATTATGGACTATATAAGTTGAAGATTCAGAAACAATTTCTTTTCAACAAAGCAGGTCAAAGTTGGAATTTTTAAATATAAAAATCTTGGAAGTAACAGTATTCCAAAGATTAATAGTCAAATAGATCACGATTGATAGACAAAACTGATAGACAAAGTTTATTATATATATTATAGATTAAGAAAGTATAAGCCTTACTATATTTAATTTACAAATTAAATAGGATATTGAATTTGATTTCAAACTTAATGTTTGAAAGTTTTATTAAAGTAACGGTATGTTTTCTAAAATTATCATGTGTCAAATTTTATATAAATTTTTATATTTTGGATACCTCTTTGCTTTTTATAGAAAATGTACAATATGGTTTATATATTGAAACATTATGTTTATATAAATAAAAATTAAGTGCCATTTCATGTAGTTGTTATTTAGTAAAAATTGCTGTGTTATACCAATAAATAAAAATCCAATCAAAAATGCGATTCTGCTTCATCTAGTTATTAGGATGCAAAATAGCATTCGCTGTGTTAAATGCATCATCGAGTGAAATATCCCATTCAGCATCCCAATATGAAATATAAGCTTATAGGCATATAAGGGTCATTCTTACACAAATCACACGGATTTTGGATAAAATAAAATTACCCAATTACCCATTACACATTTTAGAATTACCTAGTTTTTTTTTTACAGATATTATACATAAAATCATTCGACACGTATTTCAAGATTTTGCTGAAAATATATGTTGCAGGATGTTGTTGTTAAAAAAATTCCTAACATTACTTGTTACTTTTTACTCGCGAAGTTTTAAGCCCCATGGTCCCCTAATATATATCTTTTTTCGTCTTATATAGAGTTCATTTTTCGCCAGAAACGAAATTAATAAGTATAAAGTTTTTTTCAACCAAAAAACAATAAGATTGTCAATCAAAAATGATAAAAGAATACAAGTCTTTGAAAAACATTTAATATCTTTCGGTGTAACGATATCTCCAACAAATTGTAAAAAGATTTTTGTAGCAGAGAAAAAAAGATAAAAAAATTATTCAATCGATTCAAGTTGGGGCAAGGGTAAGTAAAATCTTTGTAAATATTTAAGGGTTGTAATTGTTAAGAAAATTGCAAAAACAAAAATTATTTTTTAAATAATTATAAAGTTCACTTTAACATGTAATAAAAAAATAATAATACTGATCCGATCAGCACAACTGGAGATAAATAATTCACCGCAAATGATTGAGCAAGAAATCCATATTTCAATCGAGAATATATGTAAAAAAAATTTTTCAGCCAAATCCTAAAGTGCGCGTCAAATGATTTTATGTATAATATCCGTAAAAAATTTTTTAAACGATTCTAAAATATCAAGGTCTGGATCCATAAGCATTTGTTAATTTTCAGTAAATATTCTGTTAAAACCAAACCAAAATATTCTAAATATTTCAGAAATGGTAATAGTATCAAATAGATTATATTCTTTACTACAATAGTATGTTTAAGTAATAAAACAGAAATAATTCAAGTTGAAGTGTTTTAATTTAATTCTTTAATAGCTAAGTACAAACAAAATCCACAATTATATCAGCTATTTAAATTCCTTTAAAATTGCATATTGTCCATGTCTATAACAAGATCATCATTTTCTTCCTCTACTTCATATTCAGTTTTTTCTACTTTTTCTTCCAATAAATCATCGAGTATATCTAAATCTAGATTTTGAATATTTATCATTTCGGGATCATCAATATTGTGATTTGATTGTGAATTCTGGGAAAATGATGGCTCCTCCTTTTTGATAAATTCTTTAGTATCCTCTACCATTGATCCATGGTACATTGATTCTTTTAAGGCCTCTTGTAATAAATAATGAAGTTGACTTTGCTCTGTCTGTTGCAAGCAATAAACACAATTTATGTTCATTATCTTAGATATTAGGTAAGCGATATGATGTTTATACTTCATAGTTGTTACACAGAAAGTATTCAGAATAATTGCATTGAAAATCCTTGCAAAAATTACTATACTGAATGAATATTTAATATATAAAAGGATAAGGCTTCCATATGTTTTTCCAATGTTAATCTTCTTCAGTTGATAAAACACATAATTTGAAAAAAAAAAAACTCACACACAAAATCACATTACAAATGATTTGCACGATGTTCATATTTAGAAAAAGTCATACATGTTTAATTTAAAAAAGTAAACTGAAATTATATATGGCCAATAATGCTAAGATATATTTATATATATATATATATATATATATATATATATATATATATGTATATATATGCGTAACCAGCCGCAAAATGATAAAAACAATGCCTATAATATATCAATTAGTTAAATCGAATAAATTAAAAATATATTTTCACCTGAACTAGGGTTAGTTCTTGACTCAAAAGACGAATTGTATCTGTAAGCCTTTTTTCTTCTTCATCTAAAGCACGTTCTTCATCATTAACGTATTTCAATATTTTTTTCTCTATACGCATGATGCAAAATTTCAATCTCACTTTGTTCTTAATAATTCGGCATTCAAATTATTGCAACGACTGTTGCTCTGAAGATTTTTATAAACCTGGAAAAAAATGAAAAATATTAATTAAATTAATCGTTAAAATACTGCTTATCAATATAATAAGAGTCAAGTATATTAGTGGTTAACATAAATTGAGTTTAAATTAAATGACATGCTAGTTACACATAGGATTCGATACTTAAAACACTATTCACAATTAATTGAGTTTATTTATACTAAATTCTGGCAACTTATACTTTGTGTTATCAAATATATGAGAATTATTAAAAAGATCTATTGAAATAAGTGTTAAACTCTATTAAACGTTTAAACTCTTTAAATACTGTTACTACTGTTGTATTTATTTTATAATGAATAAAGTTAGGTTAGAAAAAAATAGTCAGATATATCTTACACAAATTCCAAAGCGTTTCTTGATATTTTACACCAATATGTTTGCTTGAAAGATGGTAATAAACTGCACAGAAGTTTTTTTTAACTGTATACACAAGCATTTTATTTAAGTCACTCTCTTCTTTTATCTATGATTTAAGTAATGAATTATTTTATTCTGATCGCCTTTATATTATTTAGAGCTGTCAAATTGTCAAAATGGCGGCTTGCGCAAATGTCAAAAAATGACATTTGGTTTTGTTAAAAATTTGACAGTTGTTGAATATTTAATTAATAAATTAATTAATCAATAGTTAATTATTTATTATTTTGGGTTGCGAATAATTTATACCATTTTTATAATAAATGAGCAATTTAAAAATTATGTGCAGTCCATTGAAAATGTATATATTATATATTTATAAGAAAAAGTTTGTATGATTCGTTTGATGTCTTTTTTATCTATTGCACAATTTATTGTTTATAGAACCATCTTTATAAAATTAATTTAATCATCATAAATATGATAAGAAGTTTATTAGACGGAAAATACACTGAATTTCTTACAAATAATTTTTAATTTTGGATTTTGAGTAAGTTCTGTCAGTTTTATATTCAATAAGCAATTTAAAATTTAAGTTGCAAATATTTTATATACATACTTTACATATTTATTGTAAATATGTGGAAAACAATCATATGAACTGTTTAATCTCTTTGTGATTATATTGTATTTATTCTTTCTGGAACCATTTTTATAAAAATTGATTTAATCAACATAATCATTGTAAAATTGGAAAGAAAAACACACTGTTAATTTTTCACCGATGATTTCTAATTTCTCTAATTTTGGGCTTGAGTAAATTTTGCTATTTTTATTCTAAGTAAGCAATTTAAAAACTAGTATGTGTGTATATATTTATTTTATATACATATGAAAAAAGTCCAAAATTATTTATCTTTAATTATTAGGTTATAAAATTGTCATTTAGGAAACTACAGTGTTTTATGAATTATAATCATCGTAAAATTTTGATTATACATAAAACACACTTTTGATTTCTCACAAATGATTTTACATGCACATGATGAATTTGAAAGATTGTTTGATTATAATAATATATACAAGATTAATACAAAAACACTAACAATATATATATATATATGTATATATATATATATATATATATATATATATATATATATAACTTTCAGATAGGCAAATCGACATGCAATAAATTCAAAAACAAACCTAAAGACATCACACAAGTCACACATGTACTTTACAAATTTATTAAACAAGATTATCAAAAATAAAACTACATCAACAATTATTAATGAATTAAACTTATATATAATATATGACTTTAATACTCAAAATTTCTTAAATTACAAATGTGTACAACTTATTTTTAAACTTTGAGAATGATTAAAATCTGCAATCATCAAAAATGTATTTTAAAATATATTTTTTATTTAAAATAGCATAATCTCGTATTTATATCAATATCTAAATATGCAACATTATATAATATACTTTAAATCCTTTATAATGTTTTATTATCATTTATTTCTTTCGATTAGTCTTAGCATCAATAACATGTTGCACTTGTTTAACCCAAAATCTAAAATTCAAGGTGTCATCATTTATAAAATGTTTGATAGAATTATTGCAGAGAAAAATGCATTGATTCCGCTGTATAACAGTAGCTGGTTGAACAGAATCTGATACACAAACAATACGATACTTCAGAGATGAAACAACATCTGCAGGCTTAAAAAACTCTAATTCATAACAATATCTTTTTGCTTGTTGTTCCGTTCCCATACATGCTATGTAAATGAATGAATTACAGGGGAAAGGTAGCTTACGGTCGTAAACAAAGATGAATTTTTTATTGTGTGCGTCGAATAATTGTATGTCGCCTTTTTTGTGTAAGTTTATTAGACCGGTATACTGATAACTCATTTTACCAATGTTATCTTTGTGATTGTCTTGGAAGTGGTTTGTGATGTCTTCTAATTTGCCTTTCCATTTGCAGCTAAAATTAGGGATAAATAAATAAATTATCATAACTCATCTGTTTAATAAGTAGTTGGTGATCGCATTTGGCTCATTACTTACTTTAAAATGCCTGTAAATTTTCCAGGACAAATATATTCTCGAAATTTGCATTCTGATTCATGAAGTGGTGCATCTTTGACTGAATATGTGCATCCGAGTGAAGCATATTTACACAATGGCAAAATAGGTTCAGGTTTGGGTTTGGATGCATTTTCTGTTTTCGAAGTATCAGTAACACACTAGAGCATTATTCAATAAATAATAAGTAATAAATTATAATCATATACATAATTATATTTTATCTTTAACCTGTGGGCATGGCTTTTGGCTATATTCTTTAAAACATTTTAAACACAATCGATGATCTTCATTGCAATTAAGACTTGGAAATGGTTGCAGCATAACTTCTTCACAACAAGGACATTTGTTGCACATTTTGAGGACTTCTCTAATGACTTGTTCATTCCTTAATATACGTTCTGCCAATAGTAAATAAATTGAGGACTAAATTAGACTTTAAATCATATTTAAATGATTTAATAAACAACATACCATCACTAGAAGTCATTACTTTAATTCCTACCTATAATTGATTTTTTATGCACTGTTGTTCCTAGGTTTGTTCGGGGATAAACTAGGATATGTTTCTTGCTTAGGTTGCAAATTAAAGTTACACTGACAGATGAAATTGTGTTTATAAGAACAAAGGCACACTCTTGTGTATTTATCTATAACAGTGCTCGTCGTACACGGCCAGCATTTACATTTATTTAAATAATAATAATTATTATTGTTATTTATAAGTTAAAGTTAGTTAAATTATTGTTATTGTTATTAATAATTATTATTGTTCAAGTTCTCTACCAAAAAAATATATCTATTTAACTCGACAAAATTTTCAGATCAGATTACATTTTGTATAGTATTGGCTGGGAAATTAAATTAAATTTAAAAAAATGTGTTCATTTTAGAAAAAGAATGAAATTAAACATTTATTACACACAAAATGAATGTAATAATATAAAGGCCAATGAGCCATTGTACTTACTCAGACTTTTCGGGGATTCCCAATTATTTCCCTTTTCATAAAAAATGCGTCAATCAGTAACAACTCTAACTCATATCAATTTCGATATCATACATGTATCAAAGGCTATTTTTATAATTGTGTTTCCTCGTAGACAAATCTTCAAATTACCAGTTAATTTAGTTTTCTTCCAGCTAACTGATAAATTAACAAAATTATGGCTGATCAAATCAAAATGTGGCACAACCGTAACCTGTGTCTACCCTACTTTTCATTTTTGAAACAGTAATTTATTTAAATTATTATTTAAATTCTGCGATAAAAATTATTCAGTCAAAAATATCTATTCAAAATTTAGATCTTCATATAAAAAAATATCCCGTGCATTTTTCAAGATTTGGATATCACTGTTTCTTATGAATTGTACTTTATCCATAGATGGGATATTTATATTATTTCAAACCACGCCCATTTATTATATTTTTAAATTATATAATTATAAAATAATGGAATTGTTTAATATACAACTATTATTAATTTGAATCATTTTAACAATCATGTATTTATTTATAAAGCCGCTTATACCGATCTTGGGTATAATGTAATTCTACATCGGTCAACACTACTTGCAGCTCTGGGATTCCCCGAATGTAAAGAGCCAGAGCGTTCAGTGTTGGCCGAAGCTTAACTCGTCACAATTGACATCAATTTAGTAGCAAAAAATATTTTTCTTATTTTGATATTTAAAATATCAATAAAAAAAAAATCAACTCGAATTAATTTATAAAAAAGTAAAAAAATGAGGCTTAAGGAGCCGTTCAAGTATTACGTAAGCACTATAGGGGGGCGGGGAAGTTTTTGATTTGCGTATTTTGGTTGATATTTTGGTGACAGCTTTGCTTACTTTTGATGACAAGGGGGATGGGGGGGGGTAAATAATTGTACTAAATCTGCTTACGTAATACTTGAACGATCCCTAGGGGGGGGAGTGAGGCAAAAAATTACGAAATATTACGTGTATTTGTAAGCATTCATAATGAACAGTGATATCCAAATTTTTAAAATTGCACGGAAAATTTGATTTTAATACAAAATTTTTTTTTTTACTTCCTGTAGGGTAATTTATAGTAATCGCAAACAATCGAGAATGAAAATTCTTATATATCTTTACGTTTTAATGGTTTCTGATTACTTTGGCATACTTTACAATTAGAAAAAATAAATGTGTGCGTATGTATGTATGGATACAATCTTTCGTCGGATTTCGAGAACACGCATCAACCAATTTGAATAATTCTAAAAATAAAATTTGATTCTTATTGATAAGGGGACGTGCTGATTTTTTACTTGATTTAAAAAAATCAAAATTTTTCAAAAAAAGAATTTCAGATATAACGTTTTTTCTAGATACTAAAAATACATCTAATGTTAGGTAGGGGTCAAATCGATTACGTGATTAATGAACGCCATCTATAACTATTGATTAAGGGGGCGCCCATTAATTACGTGAGGTTTTTAATTGGAAGGAGGAAGGGTAATAAAAAATCACGAAATATCGAGCGACGGGTATAATAAGATATCACGTTTTAAAAAAATTAACTAAAAATACACGTGATGTTTGGTGGGGGCCGGGGGGTAATTTCGAATATCACCACGAATTACCAAGGGGAAGTCCAAAAATCCTTGAAATATTGATCATGTGATTAATGGATACGCCCCAATTATTATGATTATGTTAATTTAATACATATCGAGAAGTTCATGTAACTTGCCTCAATGCAAAATGCTTGCTACGAATATTTTAATTTGTATCCAAAAATAGTAATTTGGAAATCAGTGCACATTTGCACCTCTTACCACAGTTACTAACCATGTCCAATGCCATACCCGCCGGGGAATTCCCGAAAACTGTCAGTCAACGTTATCGGTGCAAAAACGCATACCATCGTATCATATGTGGCTTGTTGTTCGAGTGGAGTGGCTTTATCTTTGGCAGAGAACGATTAAATAGGAGCCATCTTATCAAACATATTTAATATAAATTTATAATAAATCGTGCAAAGTTTTCATGTTTTAATTAAAATACCGATTGAGGTAATACGAAGTACAATGGTGGATAATAAATTAGCAGGTGAGTAAATTGTGTATAAAGTGCATTTAAGTTTTGTCATATTTGTTACACAGTAGAAGGTCGTCCATTGTCGAATTGTAATTTACCAAGCTTAAAAATGCAGTGAAAATATTTCGATGTTCTTTATAGATGTATTTTAGTGCTTGAATTATATATTTTAGTGCAAAATTTTGTTTATTATTATATTAATATAATATACGTACACATATTCATCTTTCTGTTTATTTCAACAACGATCAAAACTTAAGAGCTCTATTATCTGTAAATTGTTCACAAAGCAACCCAAAGGTTGACCTAGGTTCCAATTTTGATCGATGTTCAAATATGTATATAGTTAATAATTTTTTTTGAGTGTATTTTCTAACGAAAAAATATTAGACTAGTTAACTGTAATTGACGAATATACACGTCATGGAGCAAAGTTTTGTGTATTGACGTGTATATTCGTCAATGGTATGAATTAGTGACCGTTCGCTATTTATAATGATAATTTTTTCAGTGTATTTTTTAACGCTAAACTAGTTAACTGTGATTGACGAATATACACGTCATGAATAAGGGTAATATTTTGTGTATTGACATGTATATTCGTCATGCGTAAAAACAGTAAACATTTAATTTTTATGATACATTTTTTGGAGTCCGTTTTCTGGCGTTTGAGCAAAAATTAAACCAGTTAACTGTGATTGACGAACATACACGTCATGAAGCAAAATTTTGTGTAATCGTCATGGGTATAAAACAGTGACCGTTTGCTATTCATAGTGATAATTTTTTTTAGTGTATATTCTGAAGCATGAGCAAAAATTAAACCAGTTGACGAACATACACGTCATGAAGCAAAATTTTGAGTAATCGTCATGGGTATAAAACAGTGACCGTTTGCTATTCATAGTGATAATTTTTTTTAGTGTATTTTCTGAAGCATGAGCAAAAATTAAACCAGTTTACTGTGATTGACGAATATACACGTCATGGGGGCAAAATTTTGTGTATTGACGTGTATATGTGTATGTAATTGAATTGAAATAGAAAAAAAAACAATATATTCTGAAATATTAAGTTGTTTAAAATATGTTGAAGCTATATGACTGTATAAAATAAGTAGTTGTAAGTGGCATTTTGCCATAAGGCAAGTTGCAGGATTTTTCAGAAATGTGGAAATAATACATAGTTAATATTTATAAGATTTAGCTATTTAAATAAGATTTTCTACGAATTATATTGAAAATAGTTTTTGTTTTTCATCAAAAACTATTCTTAATTTCTTACTATTACATGTATAATATTTCATCGAATTTAATCCGTTTTTAATTTAATACGCATATAATATATGTTTATTTTAAAAAGTGTTAGAAGTACTAAAAATCTCAACTAAGATCTTTTATTATTATTATCCTCTAATACTATTTATTTTCATTATACAGGATTAACAGAGGAAAAGCTACGTGTTTTAGTAAAACAATGTAACAAATGCCCGAAATGTAATGAAATTTGTCTAGAGGATTTTCCCGTTGTTCAATGTAGTTTGAACCACAGACTTTGCAAGACGTGCTTTTTGGCTTCCATAAATGATCCTTGCTTCCAGGTAAATTGGAAATACTCATACATTTTTCATTATTTTTAAATAAATATATAAATTAAATGACTTCTATATAAAAGAATCATATTTGACGCTGATATGATTATATGCTTATATATATATATATATATATATATATATATATATATATATATATATATATATATTTATCCATTTTATTTTTTTACCTATTTAGTGCACTAAGGGCAGCAAACCATCCGCTAATAAAAAAGATCGGCCAAAGCAGCCAAATGCCCCAGACAATTCTTTCCCGAAGGTAAACTGCAAATATGCCAGTGACGGATGCAAAATCTCAAAAAAGAAGGACAAAATTAGATTTCACGAATCGGAATGTGTGTTTCAACCACAAGAATGTCCTGGAAAATTCACTGATTTATTTAAGTGAGTAGAAACATAATTGAATTAACTAGAATAATTTGTTTTAATAAGTAGGATTGAGTAACATTTGATTAAATTTACATTTAAAATTATTTTTCAACACTGTTACTAACTTTATTTTACCATAACTTCTAATTATCATTTCTAATATTTCAGTTGTAACTGGACCGGTAATTTCAACGCAATGCCTAGCCATTTTGCTGAGAAACATCCATTAAATTGGAACAACATGAGTTACAAACACGAAGCTTACATAGTCGCCAACCAGTATAAAAACTTGCAACTATTCGAGGCTTTTCACAAACATTTCATTTATGTCTTCAAACATGTTAAAGAATCTAACAAAGCTTATTTCTATATAGCTTTATTAGGCTCCGAAGAAAACGCTAAAAAATTTTGCTTTGAAATGGAATTTTTTGTCCCTGATGACCCAGTGAGCTTATTGAAATTTCGGGAAGTTTGTGTAACAGCAAACACTCCGGTGAAAGATATTATTGATAAAGAAAAATGTGTTGTTTTATCTGATGCGTTACGTTTAAGATACACACATAAGAATAAATTGTATTATAGATTTTGGGTTAAAACCACTGAAGTGTTTTCTAATAAGGCAGCTCCGGCACCGACAACAAAACCTAAACTAAAAGAAGTAGACTGAACATTTATGATAATTTTATTACATTTTTCATTTTAGGCTTGTAGAAGTTTTCAAAATTTCTTAAATTTAAAACTATATCAAAAAACATTATTTAACTTAATTAATATAATAAATATAAACAATATTTTCTGGGAAATACATATTTTGGTGCTTGGGAAATATATTTAAGATTTATACCTACTTATTATATTAATTGTAAATATACTTTAAATGTTTCATATACGTAAATGGATTTATAATATTAATTGTTATAAAATGTCTATATTCAGAAATAAAGAAACTGTGTTGTAAAATTATTTTTTTATTATATTATATTTTTAAGTAAATATTCGAAATATTTTTTCTAAAGAAATTTATAATACGAATTTATACATGAATGGTATGTTCTAGAATTAAACTAGTTTCTTGAATAAAGCTTAGTACTTAACTAAGCTAAGTAAAATTTTGCCTTAAGGCAAGTTGCAGGAAACCGATGCGAATATAATAAGAATTTAAGCGACTGAATTAATAATAATTGAAATTTATCAATTTGGATGAAATATTCTCATGCTAATTTCGATTTTTAGCTTTTATTATAAACTGATGATTTTGAACTAGATGTGCATGGCATTGTGCCTTAAGGTAAATTGCTGGAACTTAACGTACAGTAATTTAAATTTCTTAAAAGATCAGGAAAAAAGTTTTTTTTGATAATTTCGTGCTTTTTCGTTTCTGAAAATTTGAAAAAATTCATTTTTGGATAATTTGTCTTTTTTGAAAGTTAAGATTTTATTAATTTTTTTTTTGAAAATTTTGGAATTTTTGAATTTCTTAGAAGTTTTTGATGCCTAATTCATATCATTTTTTTACACGCCAATACAAATGAAATCGGATAAATTTTTGAATCATCGAAATCGGATGATCTGTTCTCTCAGAAACCTAATTTCCCTTTTCTGCACTCTTTGTTCCGTATCTCCAAAAAGGCTAGACCAACTCTTGCCTAAAATTAATCATCAATAGGAATCGAATGTCTTTTAAATAATTTGAATCGGTTAATCCGCGATCCCAAAAACTTGGACGAAAAATTATGTCTACATTATACACACACCCATCAATTTTTCTAGGGTATGCCAAAAAGTCCAGAGACCTCTGAAACGTAAAGGTTTTAAGGATTTTTATTTTCAAATTTTGGAGCGCCAAAGAATCTATTATTTCAACATTACAATTACAAAGAAACGGCTCAGTCTATCTTTAGAACTGTTTTAAAATGTTCAAAATTAGTTCAAAAATTTTCAAAATTGTTTAAACATATTTTATAAAAATAATGCGAGTCCTCATCGAGTAACAACAAATGACTTTTAATTTTTTGAATCGGTTTAGCCGTTTTTGAGAAATCTTAAAAATCGGTTTTCACACATACACACATACACACACATACTTTTACCAAATTTGGTTTTATTCAATTCAGAATGACTTGAAACGTCAAAAAAAATTCTGGTAAAAACATAAACTACTTCTTCGGGAAGTTACTTACTACTTTATTAAGATGGATGCAGTTGCTAGGCAAATGTTTTTAAATATTGATCATGCAAAGAGGAAAAAATGTTAGATCAATGAAGAGAATTGTGTAAATAAAATTATATTGTTTGTAAAATTATCATCAAGTACCTATATATAAAAATAATGAGAAATATTGCACTTGAGAAATTTCTAAAAATTTATTTATATTATATGAAGTTTCCAAAATAAATTTTTGTGAATGTAAAATTGAAGTGCAAAGAAGTTTCCTGAATAATTTTTTATACATTTATAAGGTTTTGATAATGAAGTGAATATTTATTAATTTATTATCTTAAACAAAATGGCACATGGCCAATATGATACAGAAAGTGATATGAAAGAACCCTATTTGGAAACTAAAGATGGGCTAACTGTTAGAAGATGGCGAAAAACTTGGGATGGTGAATTAGCCTGCAATTCTGCATTTAAATTGGGGCCTAATTATGATGTGCTAAATGTGCAATGTGATGTTGAGGAAATACCTTTGCCTTTTGAGGGATATGATACAGAAGAGTATCGTTTGAAGACTTTTTCACAGGTAGCAAAAAATAATTTAATTTTTTTTCAAAAATTAATTTTAAATTACATCTACCGAAAGTTCTAAGGACAAAACTGGTGCTTGTTTTTAAAAATATTTGAAATCGAATTTCAAAAAAAAATGTTTAAAGTAATAAAGTTAATATTTTGAAATAGATATGACAAATTATTGAGTTTTCTTTAATAATGTACAATAGTAAATTGATAAACACAAACTCAAATGTGCTCTTAGGGTTCACTATAGAAATAAAAGTTTCTTTTATCAAACAACAATTTGTTGACTAATGTGAGGAACTTATTGTTTCAACCAAAGAACTATTTTATCAATAAAATGTAAATCAATAACTATCACATAACTTCATTAAATGAAATTAAATAAAATACTTATAAAAATATTATGCGTTTGAAAAATATCAGCCATTCATGAACGTTGTATTGATAGTTAAAATCAGAAATTGAACGTTGTACAACTATAGTTGTAAAATTTAGAATTGATAGTTAAAATCAGAATCAATTCTAAAGTCGATTAATATATGTATAGTTATTTTTTTTATATAAAAATCTTATGCATTTTGAAAATATCAGCAATTTTTGAACATTGTATTCTAAATCAATTCTAGACTTTGCAACAACTAGTTGAAATCAGAATCACTTCTATAATCAATTATTATATGTAGTTATTTTTTACAGGGTGAGCACAAAATACAAGTCGACAAAGAGACTGTTAATAAATTTTCTGATGATTTCAAAAAAACAATGGCCAAATCCAGAGAAGAATTAGGGATCGGAGAAAACATGTTATTGGAAGAATTTCCTGAAGATGTTGATGTTAGTTTTAAGAAAAAAACTAGCGAGGAGCGAAATGAAGAAATTCAGGAGTTGTTGAAAAGTCTTGAAATTGATCTGGGCAAGCTTGGAAAGGAACAGCCGAAGAAAATAGTAATGGTAATAATTCAGTAAATCACAAAACGCTAATATAAAGTAACAGATGTTACCGGTTACGTAACCTAGAAGGCGACAACGTAGTAGTTTTGTTTTCGTTACTGAATTGTTAATGTTAATATAATATTTATAAAGATTAAAATTATAATTACAAATAATCGCATTTCCACACAGTAATTCATCAACATGAAAAATGTCCTACCTAAAGTAGCTTACGAGGAGAACCCTTTTGTTGCAAAATCTTGGATATTGATGAAACTTGGCAATATAATTTATTTAGTTCTCAAACTGACTGCTCTAAAATATCCATGTACCAAATTTATCACTATGCCAAGTTTTAGCGAAAATTGAGAAGGATTCTTCTCGTTATAACAGATGTGGTTATAACATAGCATTTACCAAAAAAAAATTTTCATAGAAAATTTCCATAATTTTTGACTCATTTTTAAACGTATTTTTTTATTATTATGATTATTTTTTTCTTCAGCAGGAAGATCCCCGAGACGACCTATCAAATATGTGGCGGATGTTAGGATCTTGTGAAAATTTTCGAGTAACTGGGCCGTCGTACAATTGTCGAAGCGAGGGCCCTCATTGGCTTGACCAAAACCCTTTACCGATTTGGGAGCGAGAAAAAGCCCTAGCCAATTGCCGAGAATGGCTACGAGATGTAGAACAACCTCGTAGAAGTGGTCAGAGACCGAAGGACGCAAAAGAATTGGGAAGACCAAAAACTTCTAAAAATAGAATATAACTTGTGGTGCATGGCATCGTGTCTTAAAGCAACTTGCTAAAATAATTAAAAGTAAAAATAATTTAAAAAAAATTAATAACAAGCATAAAAAAAATAATTTGTTAAATTATTAAAGTTCTGGACATTTTTCTACATTTTGTCAAATATCTCGAATGCTTTGTTCCGCACACTTTTTTTATAATTAGCTTAGAAGAAACTAGATGAAATTTACTAAATACAATACTAGATATAATATTTTCAAATAGATTATTATAAATAATGTAATTTTTATTAGTCGTTTTATATAGACAGAATTTAAAATAGCTTATAAATTGGACGAGACATTTATATAGGTTTACATAAAATGTAAATAAGCAAACCTATTCATATTTCGAAAAAATATATAATTTTGTTTCAAAAAGCAAGCTTTAGAATTTTAAATAATCTATTTAAAATTAACATAAGTAAATTAATAAAAAATAAAAAATAAAACTTTCGAAAAAATTAATCTAATTTGAATATATATAATAATATATCTGATTATATGATATAATTTTATTTTCATGGTTCTGTTAAATAATAAATAATGATATTATAATCTTTGAATTATAGTTTTTCATTTATGTAATTATAATTATATAATTGGTTACCAATCAACATGAAACAATTTCAATAAAATAAAATATTTTAATAATAAAAATTAAGCACAATTAAATTTTTTTAAACGACTACATTATATTAAAATAAGTTGCAAAATTTGTATTGATATTGATAATATTATATATGATATTGATGAATATTTTAAATGAAGACTGAAGTTTTAAATTGTTTTTAATTGAAGTTTAATCAGAAAAAAGGCCGCAATTTTATTTATTAATAGAATTATATAGCAAAGTTGTGAGCCTTACTTAATTTTTAACTTCCCGTATGGTAAGTCCACAAATTGAAACTGAATTTTTTTGCATATGTTCACGTTTTAGAAATTTCTGAACATTTTAGCATACCTTACCTTTTTCATTAGTGAAAATGGATGTATGTGTATGCATGTATGGATACAATTTTTCGTCCACGTTTTCGGGCGCACGGATCAACCGATTTAAATGGTTCGAAAAACATTTGATTTCTATTCATAGGGAAATGTGTTGATTAGTTTTTGGCAAAGGCAGATGTAGCTGTTCCGGAGATATGGAGCAAAGAGTGCAAAAAATAAAAATAGAGTTTTTGAGAGAACGGAGCATTCGATTTGAATTATCTAAAAAACATTCTATTAGTAATGATTGCGAGAAGTGAT